CAAGTAGCAAGCCCTTGTTCAAGCAGGTGCACTACTTATGGTAACCCAAGCACCACCAGGAGTAATCCCTGAGCACAGAACCAGGAGTATCCCTGAGCACAGCCAGTTATGGTAAAATAAAAAGAGTTCATGTTATGAATTTTTACCTACAGAGTAATTTGTGTCTTTGAAATTGTATGAAATTCTTATTTCAATGTCTCAATTGAAAAAAAAGTATGTAGCTGTTTTTACTAATAAGTTAGGTATATGAAAGAGAGGAATGGGTAGTAAGATATGTCCTTGGTAACTAAACATGGATACTCCACTTCTAAACTGAGGTAAGTTACTGATTTTCCGTTGAACATTTAAACTAGTTGATCATATAAGAGAAACTATTATCATTAGAGGTCTAAAATGTCAAGATATATAATTTCAGATTGTTAGTTCTATTGGGCTGGAGCCATAGCACAGTGGGTAGGGCATTTGCCTTTCACACAGCCGACTCATCCGACCTGGGTTCAATTCCTCCACCCCTCTCAGAGAGCCCAGCAAGCTACCGAGAGTATCTCGCCCACATGACAAAGCTTGGCAAGCTACCCGTGATGTATTCAATCTGCCAAACACAGTAACAACAAGTCTCACAATGGAGATGTTACTGGATCCTCTTGAGCAAATTGATGAACAACGGGAGGAGAGTGCTACTTCTATTATCCTAAGCATAAAATGAAGGAAACTTGTGAAAATATCTTTTGAACTTTTGACAATTGTTTGTCTCTAATGGTTTTGAACATTTCTGAGTTATAAAAGGAATACGCTTATTGGGACACAGTTACAGAGGAAATGCTGTGCATTATATCCTCAAAACTTCCTATTTTAATGGAAAGTTCATATATATCCTTTCTGAATATTCTAAACTGATGCTAAAAATCTAATATGTGTCATTCTAATAACTATGCTTCTTTAAATTGTACCTTTAGCAAGTTCCTTTATTGAATAATATTTCCTTTTGTTTCTGTTTATATATTAAATGATGAGGTATTATTCAATGAATTCCCATGAAAAGTCTGGAACTGAAAAATAATATTATCTTATTTAATTACCATGTTATTGTAATTATTATTTGTTCTATGAAAAAAGAGACTGTGTTTCAAAAACCATGTAACTTTCCCATAGTCAGATAGCTGATAATATATTTTTAACTCCAGTATTATAGATCAAACCTATTTTTCTCAAGTATCAATGTTCTTTCTATTAAATCTTGCAATAACCATTAGGGAAATTAAAAAAAATTCTCACAACCCTAAAATACCTATTTATAATTCAAACATTGCCTCCAGTTCGATGAAATAATTGCCTAGAGAGTAACACTTCACTGGAAATTTGTAGATTAAGGATGTTTTTCTATGGGAAAGTCTCATATTCTGTGATAATTAAAGTTTCTTCTGCTTCATTTTATGTCCTTTTGTGGTCCAGTGATTGCAATTGCATGCAAGAGTCCAGGTACAGCTGTTCCATCGGATTCACAACACAGGGTATGTGTTGATCACATTCTATATAAGAAAGATTCAACAATGACTTTAAAATTATCATTCTGGCATTTTATCTACATTTCAGAGCCAATCATTAAAATATGGATCAAATTTATTTTTCCTAAATGCATATGAATCATTTGGAATCCAAAAGCAGTTGAGCAATTTTGTAAAATCTGCTCTATTCTATTCATCTGCCAAGTGGTTTAGTCATGTTAAATAGATATTTTTGCATTTAACCAAACACCGATTTTTAATTTAGTTAAGATACTACTTGTAAACTGATTTTTTGTAAAAACAAACAAAAAAGCAGAAGTCTATATCAGCAGTTTTTTACATTCATGTATATATGCAGGAAGAATCTTTAATTGTACAGAAATACATTTTGTGAGCCAAACAAATCTGAAAGTGTGCAGTATAGAAGAGCACAATTTAGTTCCTGCTGATGGCAAAATATTATGAATAGGACAGTGAGTTCACTCTAACTCTCCACTTTAAGAATGGTCTGATGTCTATCCTTGAAATCTCGCCCCTCTTTCACACAAGATGCAATTTTCATTTACTTTTTATGTATACCAAACTATAATGTTAGATTAAGGATTTGAAGGGAAATTTATTCTAGTTAAGTATTTAATCATCTGAGGTTAAATCTCTGATTAAATTTATTTGCGTTATATAATACTAAAACAGTCCTCAAAAATTATTAAATTATTCATCAGGTGAAGTGTTTAAAGTACTCCGTTTAGAATTTTTCATCAGTACACAGAAGGATTTTTTATTTGATTATATTTATTCTTTTTTTTTAATATTGGAGAACTGCTATTTATTTGGCCATTGATTAAGCTAACTTAGTTAGGCACGAACTCCAAATTATTTTTTTAATTTGGAATGTAATTTTTATTTTATCACCGTAAGAAATAGTTACAAAGCTTTCCTATTTGAGTTTCAGTCATACAATGATTGAACACTCAACTCTCCTCCGGTGCACATCTTCCACAACCAAGGTCTCCAGTATCCCCCCCATTCCACTCCTCCCCCTGTCTCCATGGCAGACAATATCCCCCATACACTCTTTTGTATTGCTTGTTATGAATAGCATAAGATGTCGTGTGGCCGCAAAAGCAGCTGTGTGCTCCTGGAATTCTAAGATTTTAGATAATTAGGGTCTGGAGAAATCTCTACATCGAGCTACTTGGTTCAGAGAATCTTTTGTATGTTTTTGGATCATGGCCATTAAAGAGCTTAAGAAGCAGTGGAAGGCAGTTTGTGGGCATGACCCCCAGGGTCCCATGAGTGATGGGGGGAGGGGGAATGAGAAGGACCACCATATCCCTTTTCCCTTGAGGCCTGGAGTTTGCCATCACTAAACCTGAGTACCTGCACTTCTCATTGGGTTCTGGAAGTTGGTGGCCACTGGTGTATTTTTAGGGGGCTGGTGGAGGGATAACTCCTGCCCCTGTCTGAGGCACCCTGGTGAAGTCGGCCTGACTTGAAGTTCGAAGGCATCTCTGCAGCGAGCTGCTTGGACGAGATTCTTTTGTGTATCTCTGGATCCTGGCCCTTGTTTCCATCTTTTTCAGGGAAATAAATTACTGGCATAAACCCTGCAGGGCTGGCCTGCTCACCCATAGTGTGCCGTGCTGCCGGCCCTCACTGCGGCTTTTGATTTCTTTCAAGATTTATGGGTCTCTGAAATAAGACCAATAAATGATCTTGTATAGCTAAGCCGGAGATGGTTTGTGGGTGTGGCTCCCACATACCTAACTTATGGCCATTTAATTTCTTGGTAAACTTGGTCCCAAGTACTTGGGGTCCAACCAAAGGCACAGCAGCAATTTGAGGGTATCAGGAAACCTGAAGGCACAATCAGGCTGCTAATGCACTCATCTTTCAGGTACAGGTTGACCTGCTGGTGGCACTATATGCCGGAGTATATTTATTCTTAATATATATTTTTCAAATATTAATGAAAATTTATGAACTCATTTAAAAAAATTATTACATACTCAGTGTCTAACAATTATCAATGTAAAATAATTAAGTCTTTTGATCAGTAAAAAGAATTAAGTATGATAAAAACATTTATTTTTATGAAAATTGATTTCATTATGTGGAATTTTATAAGAAGAGAGATTTATAAATTCCAGGATCATTTTATCTTATATACTTAATAAAATCCATTTTCTATGTAAGGAAATAGATTTATGATGCTTAAACAATTAACTTCATACTATACACTTTATAGGATAGTCAAAAATATGAAAGATTTACTAATTTTCAGGTCTCCAACAATTACACACTATCTTTTTTTTACTTACATATATGAATACCCATGATAATGCATTATCTATTGATTTGGCAGATGTGTTATGACAAAAATTACAACGTGTAATCCTGAGTTAAAATAATGATCTGGAAAATTTTGTTTTTGTTTTTATTGTTTAATTTTGGGTCACACTCAACTGTGCTTACTTCTGGCACTGCTTTCAGTGATTACTTCTGGTAGTGCCTGATGGACAATAATGGGATACCAGGGATAGAACCTGTGTAGGCTATGTGCAAGGCAAAATCCCACCTGCTGTACAATTTCCATAGCCCCACCCAATAAGATTTTTTTTACCTGTAGTCTTACTATTTAACATTCGTAAAGATGATTTATAAATGGATTTTAGTGATGTTACATAGATACACATTTCAGAAACTGTCCTTCTAACTAGCACTTCACCCATGAGAAGCATCAGTCAAGCACAAATAGCAAAAAGGAAAACAGGAATTAATAATTCAGTGTAAAAAGACACTGTCAACGATTCAGTTTGGTGCACTAGTTTAATTAATTTAACCACTAATTAGTAGAAACATTGTGATCATGTTTAGAGCTGCAATGATCTGGGTTATTTTATTTTAATTTTTAAAAAATATTCTTCCAGAATCATAGTGAAATACAAAATTATAAAGCTCTACATGGTTGAGTCTTAAGCATAAAATTTTTCAACCACAGTCCCATCAGCAGTGCCCATTCCATGCACCAATGTCCAGAGTTTTCCTCCTTTCCCCATCTGCCTCTATGGCAGGCATTGGTTTTTTTTTTCTTTCTTCCACCCCCTATTTTATACATTGTTGTTTCCAATACTATTACTGGTAAGGAAGCAATATGAATGCCATTTTACCTCATTAAGGACCTATTCCTGGTCCAGAATGACCATTCCCCTCTATTATTGTTTAAGTGATCCATTCAGTGAACTCTCAAACCTCTCCTCATGCCCTCCACCAGTACCAAGTGTCCAACCATGGACAAGTTCTTTTGCTCTTTGCTACCAAGGTTATTACTTCTAGACCAAGTGTGTAAATGAATATTTTGAGTGTAACGTTTAAGAAGCACAGTCTGCACCCAGAATAACTTTTATGCAAGGACACTTTTTATTTCAACACAGCCCAATGGATTAACTGTGATGATAGTGTGTCCAGAAGAAATAGGGAAACCTCAACTGACATTCAATGAGGTTTCTGGAACTCCCATAACTTGATGGTATGATCCAAGCTGCCGGTTACCACATAGCCGGTCATCTTGTGGATATCCATGGTGTAGACAGAATTATTGTGTGCCTTGAGAGTCTTAATGCACCGTCTGTTCTTATAATTCCATATGCGTATAGTCTTGTCATCCGCACAGCTTATGATGAAAGTGCCCAGGGGAAGGACAAAGATCCCATGAACCCAGTTATCATGACCCACTAGGGTCATAAGGCTCTTGCCGGTGCTTATATTCCACATCTTAATTGTCTTATCTCTTGAACCAGATAGTAAAAAGAGTTCTGGCTGATCCAACTTGCTAGAATCAACACCAATGGTTTCCAAAATAGCAGGATGCGCACTTATTGGCACCCAAGAAATGCACTCCACCACATGCTCATGCTCCCGAAGCTCATTCATGCACTGCGCACTATCTGCATTCCAAATACGGACGGTGTGGTCATGTGAACAGCTTGCAATCAGCGTGCCATCCTGATTTGGTAGTGCCATACGGACCCATTTTGTGTGGCCAGTGAATGTCTTCACACAGTAGCCCGTGTTTATGTCCCACATCTTTAAGGCTGTGTCCCGTGAGGCAGAGATTATATAACCTCCATCGGGCATGAAGGCTACTGAAGAAACGTCGTGATCATGGCCATAGATGGTTTTAACACAGAAAAAACGCTGAAAATCCCATACTTTGATGACACCATCTGCAGAGCAAGAGGCAAGCACTTTCCCACTGTTGTCAAATGAAATATCATGAATAGTATCTGAATGGCCTCTAAGAGTTTGTTCTAAAGCCCCAGTCTCATAATTCCAGACTTGAATTGTAGCATCTTCGAAGGAAACAGCAATAACAGTGAAGACAGGATGGAAAATCACTCTAGTCATCTGACCACTGTGTCCATTCAGAGAATGTTTTTCGGTAACAAGAGGAACCCATTCTATTGCATTTTGTCTTCGTTCAAGGCACTCGTTTGCTTTCAATTCTTCTTTAGCTTGGTTTAGTTGGAATTCTAGATCCATAACCTTCTTTTGTAACCTGATAACAATCGACCATTTCTTTTCCAAGAGCCCAGCACATTTTTTATCTAATTCTTGATTCATATCCAATTCAGCTTCTGTTTTAAAAACAGAATATGCTTGTTCAAAGCCATTTGAATGGAGGTAATCGGCTATAGCCCGTTGGAGTTCTCCTCGTTGTCTTGGGGTCAGTGCCATTTGGCCATAGAGTCAAACTTATTTGATGTTATGCTATTTCACTCTTGGAAAAGGAGAATGTCTTGCATATCCTGGATATATAATTCAATAGGCTGTTAATTGGATTTTCAAACTATATAAATGTTTCTCTCACAAATGAATCCAATCTGCAGTTAAAAGATATGCAAGAAGTCAGGTTGATTCCTGGGAATCTCAGCACCCTCAGTCTTAGCAGGGCCTCACCCCACTTTTGCTTTCATAGAGTATTGGGAGACTGGCAGATTTAGAAGGAAAGAAGGAAGGATGGAGAGAAAGAACAAGAAGGATGGAACACTGGGCTTAGTCTCTGCAAAAGGAAGAGACAGTAGAACAGAGACTCCTGAGACTTACAGGACCTAAAACCAACTCTGATTTCTCTCCTCCCACACACAACACCACTTCCATCCTTCCCTTTTCTCACTACCAGGACTACAAATGAGGGTCTCTGCTTCTCTGCTCTTTCACTATGTATCTCCACATCCTGATTCCACAGACATTCAAACTCTAAAGTTATTTCTTTCTGGCCCTTATGATAAATTCCTCTGTATGTGTCCACAAGAAACCTCAGTAGACATCTTTACCTGTGTGTTCATACATGTTTTAGAGCTCATATCTTCTTGGCATGTTCTGTTTTCCTAATTTTCTCTTAGGACACTGTCCTATCCAGGAAGCCTCACTGGCCTTTGAGACTCATGTCTGCAATCACCCTATTAACCCTGGCACCCAAAGGTATGTGACTGTCACAACACTAAGCATGTTCCCAACAGCCCTGTTGCTATGGTTGAATGTGTATGCTCAATAAATTGATAAAATACTCCTGAAATTCATATGGAACAATAAATCCCCACGAATAGCTAAAGCAACCTGTAGAAAAAAGATGGAAGATATCACCTTCCCCAACTTTAAACTGCACTACAAAGTGGCAGTAATTAAAACAGCATGGTTTTCGAATAAAGACAGAAACAAAGAAAAATGAAATAGTTTAATATCCTGACACAAACTCTCAAATGTATTGTCATTAAATCTTTTACAGAAAATCAAGAAATATAAAGTGGAGCAAGGAAATCCTCTTTAACAAGTGGTCCTGAGAAAACTGGACAGCTACACGCAAAAAAAAAAAAAATTAACTCAGACCTCTCCTCTTTCTAACACTGAGCCTAAAAAACAGATCAAAATGGATTAAATTCCTCAATATCAGACACAAATATGTAAGTGTCATGGAGGAAAATGTGGGAAGAACCCTCCATGACACTGGAGCTAAAGGCATCTTTAAATATGAAACACCACTCACCAAGCAAGTGGAAGCAAAGATAAATAAATGGGACTATGCTAAACTCAGAAGTTTCTGCACCTCAAAAGAAACAGTGACCAAGATAGGAAGACAGTCCACAGATTGGGAAAAATATTTACACAATATGCATTTGATAAGGGGTTAATATCCAAGATATATATGACACTGTTAGAAATTTACGAGGAAAAAAGAACACCTGACCTTATCAAAAAATGGGAAGAGGAAATGAACAGAAACTTGTTGAAATGGCCAACAAAAGACACATGAAGGTACAGCCCGCCCCCAAGGGCCTGGGTTCCTCTCTGGGCACGCGCAGCTAGAAACAGCCCCGAGACAGCCGGTTTTCAACCCCTGAGCCGCGTGGGACGGGCACAGAGGCCCAGCTCTGGGCAACAAAGCTGAACGGCTCCAATTCCAACAGGTACAGCCCGCCCCCAAGGGCCTGGGTTCCTCTCTGGGCACGCGCAGCTAGAAACAGCCCCGAGACAGCCGGTTTTCAACCCCTGAGCCGCGTGGGACGGGCACAGAGGCCCAGCTCTGGGCAACAAAGCTGAACGGCTCCAATTCCAACAGGTACAGCCCGCCCCCAAGGGCCTGGGTTCCTCTCTGGGCACGCGCAGCTAGAAACAGCCCCGAGACAGCCGGTTTTCAACCCCTGAGCCGCGTGGGACGGGCACAGAGGCCCAGCTCTGGGCAACAAAGCTGAACAGCTCCAATTCCAAACAGGAGACATTCCCAACTCCTCGCCCAGTGCCAGGGACTCTTTCCGGAGCCTCGGCCGCTAACGCGGCCGCGAAATATTTTCCCACTACATATGCCATAGGAACCATAAGCTAACTTCTTAGATGGAAACTTCTCTATTTTAGCTCAGCCACTAGAAATACAGTTGCCAATAACTCATAAGCCTATCTTAACTCACACTGCATATCAAGCAGAATAGTAACACTGAACGTGAAGGACTAAACCACACCTCTCACAATGGTAAAGCAACGCAAAAGCCCACCAAACATTCATATTGAAGAGTCTAGCCCAGATGACACCAACAGTACTGTAGTGTTAGACAACCTCTCTGACAAGGAATTTAGAAGGGAGCTACTTAGGATGCTTAGGGAATTAAAAGAAACAATGGAAAGCAATGCCAATAGAAGACAAGAGGATCTGAAGGCAGAAATGAGGAAAATGCAATCAGAAATGTCAGACCTGAAAAATCTCGTAGGCGAATTGAAAAGCTCAGTGGAAGGCCTCAGCAGCAGAGTAACAGCGGCTGAGAACAGAATCAGTGAGCTCGAAGATCAAGTTCAGAGACTCTCCCGAAAAGAGCAGAAAATGGAAAAGAGACTCACAATTCGGGAACAGATGGCAAGAGAAGATCGTGATGAAGCCAAGAGGGGTAACATAAGAATTATTGGAGTCCCAGAGGGACAGGAAGAAAACCTCGATGAAGAAGAAACTGTCAAAGACATCATTGCTACAACATTTCCAGAGCTGAAGAAAACTTGTGACCACATTCAGGAGGCCCGAAGGGTACCAGCTAGAAGAAATCCGAATAAAAATACCCCAAGACACATTCTGATCAAAATGACCAAAACCTTAGACAGAGACAAAATTCTGAAAGCAGCAAGATCGAAGAAAGAAATCTCTTACAAAGGAGCATCCTTAAAATTCACAGCTGATTTTTCTGATGAAACCCTCATGGCCCGAAAACAGTGGTGGGACATAGTAAAAAAACTCAATGAAATAAATGCCTCCCCCAAAATACTTTTCCCAGCAAGACTCTCATTCATAATAGAAGGAACAACACACAGTTTCACAGACAAACAACAGCTCAGGAACTTCATAGACTCAAAACCATGGTTACAAGAACAACTAAATGGGCTACTTTAAGGCAAGAAAGGCTCCTCAAATACACCCAATTTTAACATAACAATGGGACAAAATCCCATAACAATAATCTCTCTCAATGTCAATGGGCTAAACGCACCAATTAAAAGACATAGAGTGGCAGGATGGATTAGAAAATTGAACCCAACATTCTGCTGCCTGCAAGAAACGCATCTCAATAGTCAAAGCAAACACAGACTCAGAGTCAAAGGCTGGAAAACAATCCTACAGGCAAACAGCTCCCATAAAAAAGCTGGGGTAGCCATCCTTATATCAGACCACATTGATTTCAGAGTGAGGAAGGTCATAAGAGACAGTGAAGGCCACTTCTTATTGATCAGAGGATCTGTACAACAGGAAGAACTTACAATAATAAATGTATATGCACCTAATGAGAGACCAGCAAAGTACTTAAAACAACTACTCATAGATTTGGAAAAAGACATCAATAGCAACACAATACTAGTGGGAGACTTCAACACTGCTTTGTCACCTCTTGATAGATCAACCAGACTCAAGCTTAGCAAGGACATACTTCATTTGAGGGAAACAATGGAAGAAAGGGACTTAGTAGATATATACAGGACACTTCATCCACAAAAAGCTGAATACACATTCTTCTCAAGCGTACATGGAACATTCTCCAAGATAGACCACATGCTGAGCCACAAAACATGCCTCCATAAAATTAAGAAGGTAGAGATTGTATCAACAATCTTCTCAGACCATAATGCGCTGAAATTAGAAGTAAATCACACACAAAAACAGAAAACTAAATCAAACACCTGGAAATTAAACAGTGCACTATTGAACAACGAGTGGATTAGACAGGAAATCAAAGAGGAAATCAAAAGATTCCTAGAAACGAATGAAAATGAGAACACGAGTTACCAAAACTTATGGGACACAGCAAAGGCTGTGTTAAGAGGAAAGTTTATAGCTCTACAAGCATTCCTCAGGAAGGAGGAGCGAGCATACATAAGTAACCTAACCTCACAGCTTAAGAGCTTGGAGAAGGACCAAAAAAAGGAGCACAACCCGAACAGGAGAAAGGAAATAATAAAACTCAGAGCAGAGATTAACGAGATGGAAACCCAAAAAACAATCCGAAAGATCAATGAAACCAAGAGCTGGTTCTTTGAGAAAATTAACAAGATCGATAAGCCTCTAGCAAAACTCACAAAGAAAGGGAGAGAGAAAACCCTAATAAACCGAATCAGAAATGAAAAGGGGGTCATTACAACAGAAACCACAGAAATTCAGAGGATCCTCAGGGAGTACTTTGAGAAGCTTTATGCCACGGAACATCAAAACCTCGAGGAAATGGATAAATTCCTAGACTCCTACAGACTCCCAAGGCTGAACCAAGAAGACCTGGAATACCTGAACAGACCTATCACCATCAAGGAAATTGAAATGGTAATAAAATGTCTCCCCAAGCACAAAAGTCCTGGCCCGGATGGATTCACTAGTGAATTCTTCCAAATCTTTAAAGAGGACTTACTCCCAATACTCTTTAAGCTTTTCCACGAAATTGAAATATCAAAAACACTTTCAAACAGTTTCTACGAAGCAAATATCACACTGATACCAAAAGCAGACAGAGATACCACAAAGAAAGAGAATTACAGGCCGATATCCCTGATGAACACAGATGCAAAGATCCTCAACAAACTACTAGCAAATAGAATCCAACTACTCATCAAAAAGATCATACACCATGACCAAGTAGGATTCATCCCAGGGATGCAAGGATAGTTCAACATTCGGAAATCAATCAACATAATCCACCATATCAACAAAAGAAAAG